TCAAATTCGACCTGATAGTCGATGAAATATTTTTGCTGTTTGAACGGGCGGATGATAGTTAATAAGTCAGCAGTTTTGCCAAAAACCGGCTCAAACCGAAATGGCAAATGGTAAAATGACTAAAGTAACCGTAAAAAATGTTGTAAAATATCTCGTAGTCCATTCACATCATCTCCTCTAGGCTTCAGTATCTTCAACTCGCAACTTCTTTTTTTAAAATTTGAAATGCCACCGAACTTTGCTGACCTCAGCGCGCGCCATATTTGTTAACCGATTACGCGAACCCGATGCGTGATTTTCGCAAACAAGATAGTCAATGATACTGAATGGAAGTTGAAACTATCGCAAATTATCATCAACTATCATGACCGTTTGAACAGGGCTTCATGATATATATCGCTTGATTGTTAACACTTACACTTCTGATCAGACTACTGGGCACGGTCTCAAAAGGACTAAATGCCAGGCAGTCAGAAATTTTCACAAAAATGCCACTGAAAACCTCATACAAACCTATTGAGTATATTCAATGTTTGTTTAGTAATGTTGGTTTTTCCGTAACATACTAAAACACATAAACATTCCAGAACGTTCAAGCTCGGATAATTTTTCCACTAAAAACCAAATTAACTTTTGGAATCACTTGACATTTCTAAACAAATATCTGATTCTCTTTCTAGCTTTAGAAGATTCAAGGAACCATTTAGTGGCATTTTAGTAAACATTTCTTAATACCTGGCATTTAGTCTATTTGAGACCGTGCTCGATGGCCTCGCGCGATTCAATGAGGGACATCTTGCCAAATGCAACGGGTACCCAGGACTTTCCCTCTAACCCAGCGAAATAGCACATTGCTCCGATTCGTATCACAAGATTACCCCTGCAAAACAGGCAAGATCCCACAGAAGCTTGGGAGTATCCCATAACTGGGCAAGGCGCACATAACCGGATAGGAAAGGCCGACCCAACAAAACGTCTATAACTAAGTTCTGCATTCGGAATGATTGCTTTGATTTCCTCCAGGATCAGTTAGAAGGCAGGGATGAAGAACCTAGAAGAAAAGTGTGGTATGATGTCGACCCATTCTCTAGCTGTAGGCCTTCCCGTAACACGCACGTGATGTTTTTTCCCTTCATGCCAAATTCCTTCGGTGTTGTTTCTCAAAAATGCTGTAAGGGCTCTATGGAAGTAAGGAAACGATTTTTTATGAGGTGGGAATTTTGCCACGTGAAGAAGCACCTCCATCAGCAATAAGAGGCAACGCTTTTGGAATTCAAGCCATGCAAACATGTCTAGCCAATCATAGTTCTTGTACGAATATCGCACTTCCATATCTACGAGTGGTAACGTCGATAGGTCAAGATCAGTCGCGTCTGCGAGATAATCCAAATAAGCTTGTGTTCCTTCTCCATCTTTTGTGATAACGCAACAGTTGTGTGAAAAGAAGGTAGGTAATTCCAAGTAATTGCTCAAGAGATAACCAAGATCATCTAAAATACATTTTGGGTCTATCCGACCGAGATCCGCAAAGGATGTTTTAAATTTCTGGACGTAAGCATGGTGTAAGCTGGCCATCTTTATCTGGTAAGAGTTCAAAATGTGATCGAGAAGCAAATATTTCAATGTTCTGTAACAAAGGCGATGGCATTCATCTAAGGATTTTATCAGACAAAGCTCGGCCTGAGCAAAGGACACGTGGGAACATTTTTGACAATCTGGTGAACAAGATGTTGGTACAAGGTAGCAAGGGTGTTCTTTAATCAAGTTGTAGAAATTTGACGGAAAGTTTTCGTTCTCAGCAAGTTCCACAATGAACTTCTCAGTACATGGAATTGCTGGCATGACATCAACTATAATGTTAAATTCGTTTTGGTTTGCGCCTTTCCACTACAATTGAAGAAAAAGCCTACCCGCCTTGATGAGCAGCGTACCTGATTCCCTAACTATTTCGTTTTCATCATCTGTCATTGTTTGTACCACTGCTGCAATCATTTCTGTCAACATATCACTAAGATTTTTAAGCCATACTTGCCGGTTACTCTCAAACGTTACTCGAACGCGTCCTGGTCTACATCCCTCATTTAAGGTCAATTCTCCCACGTTTAACTTGATGTTAAAGTAAAACTCATTAATAAGTCCTATTTTATTTTCCACGAAACTCCCGACGGGAAAAATTTCCTCCACCGAGAAAAGCTCGCCGTAATTTACAACTTGATCTTGTTTATCTTTGAGTTGCTGAACTTTCAACTTTTGACCCTTTTCAAGGATCACAGACAGTGCTTCGAAAACGGATGACGCTACATCACTCACTTCTGAAGAAAATACTCTGAAGCTGCACCAGACGTTGTGGATCACAAAACCTCAAGTTCGACTTTTAACGCCAACAAAGGGCTAAAGAAGGGCTGACGGTCGAAACGCAAAATTTTAAAACTCTTTGCGGTGGCCGATTTACGTCATTAACTCAGCTGATAATATCAAATTACCAGGTTCTACTCTCTCATCAACGCAGCACCGCAATTTCTTTAGAAACCTACCTTCTTTATCAACGCCAACTCTCGAAATTACGTCAATCACTCGGCCTTTGTGGCAGAGGCTGCCATAGAGCTATTTTTTGAGCTTATTTTCTATCGCTCTCTTCAACAAGGCATACTCGAGTTTGGATTCATGTTCGAGTTAATCTGCGGCGCAGCGGCGAAATAAGTATGAACCTCATCCTCAAGAAGACATTGGAAATGAAATTAAAGTTATTCATCAGCCCTTATATGAGGAAGTAGACTTCGAGCTTGGAGGTAAAGAAATCAATCAAAATTTATTTCATTGAAGAAAACTGCTGTGGAGAAATCAGGTAACTTATGCTCTGCCAACGTTACTACTTCGTCCGTTTCTTCAGGGTCGACGTCATGTACTTCAGGTAGCTTTTAGTTAGGCAAATGGGAGCGATCTGGAAAGGAAATATTCAGCACGGGTCGCAGAGGGCAACAAGTCAAATAAGCTTAGTTACCAGCTTCTAAAGAAACTGTTGTTGTGCTGGCAAGTAAGTGAAACTCTGAGTTGAAGATCATGTTAGAGGTTTCAAAAGGCAAATAAGCCTCCTCAGCGAATTGTAAAAGACCCCAAAAGTGTTAGCTTTTCGAAGGAGTAAAATAAAGTGTTACCAGTTATGTGTATTGTGTGTTATATGAATTATGTTCATATTTAATTGCAAAAACGTTGAATCCTTAAAAAAGCATGAACCTTGAACGACAAGATCTAACAGTTTCTAGGCAGTGCTCGTACCATTTTTCTCGTCAAACCTTTCGCACACATACACAAAAACAATTGAAGCATTGAAAAAAATGAAGCAGAGGAATGTTTTCTTCCCTTTTTTGGCATCACATCAATTATACGGAACAGTCTAATTCACGTTTTGCTGTTTTAAGGTTCATTTTTTCAACTCAGCTACAGTGCCATCATGCATCCTCAAAATGGTTTGATGATCACACCCTTCGCCAAAACGTACTATCTATTCTTCGCTACATTGAAGCGTTACTAAAAGTGATGAACGCATACCCAACATGGACTGACATACTGACACCGGCTTTTTTCCCTTTTTTTCGCTTAAAAGTTCTTTCGATAATTTCCTTTGGCGTTTCCACGGTTTCACATGCAAGAAATGTATTTTTCAAAGAGGAACTTCTTGAAAAATGAAACCTTCATTGTATCCTTGGAATCAGGGTCAAATGGCGACGTCATCTCAAAACCAAGCTGAGTGGCGCACAGTCTGAAGAGCAGGAAACCTTCTCTAAGACTGACTCATTTCTCAAGACCCGGAATAATTTCCAACCATGTCAAGTTTATTCTTAGATCAATTGTCGATGGCCTTTTGGTGAAAATTTCTGACTGCCGGGCATTTAGTCCGTTTAAAACCGTGCCCGGTTGTCTGGTCAGAAGCGTAGAATTTCCAAGTGTCGACAACCAAGCGATACTGTAGTATGCATAGGCTTAGAGAATTTGTCTGCTAAAGAAAACCAACTTAATTTTCTTTTTGAATCACTTGACATTTCTCAACAAACATTTCATATTCTTAAGAAGTTTGAAAGACCCCTCAGAGGAAATTATGTGAAAATTTCTGACTGCCGGGCACTTTTTCTCTTCATTTTGAGACCGTGCCCTGCTGCGCCAAGTGAGTAACAGCGTTGCTAGAAAGCGCATTGTTCTTTTCGAATTCTATGTCCGCCACGAGAAGGATTGAACTATCCATCAATCCCTTAGATCTCGAGCAATCTGTTTTTGAACAAGTGAGTGAATCTCACGAAGTAAGATTCAGCGTTGTTTTGTGCCCTTATGACGAAGAGAAACATGGAGAATTGCGTGACTGTGGTAACATTTCTGCACAGGCCCATGCTTCATTAAGCATACAGCTCAAGGAGAATCAAAACGATGGCGAAAACGATAGATTAGCTTTGGGACTACGGTTTTTTTCTGGATGTATGGGCTTGTATGGAAATCTTTCCGTGATCGATATATTGTAGCAGGCCATCCTTTAAAACTAACGAGCCTTGAAGATTTTCAAACACACTTCGAGTCTCCGATCTTTACATCGAAGCCGCATTCATTATGAGCACTAGTCCATACTTATTGTCAGAAAAATTGACTCTCCAATAATTGTTAAAAACAAATTACGTCGAAAAATACCTGGTTCCATTGTGACGATGATTCAGTAAACAATAAGAAGAACACAGCTCAGTAAATCAAGAGCTCAGACAACATCTTCCTGTCCCGCGATTTACTTGCGCTAACTAGTTTTGTTAGGAATCAGACACCAATCTAAAGCTTTTTTTCCGGGAACCAATCAGAACACACATTTATGGCACCAGTTTACAATTGTTGACCAATCAACGTTGTTATTCCGTGACTTCGTAATCCTGCGAAAAATTAAACCAAAAGAGTGACATTGGCATAATCATTTATCTTACACCAGTGTGGGTTGCGTCTAAGGCGAAGCTGGGTGGTGTTAATTATGGCTGAAACTCAATACAAACCGCCCGGACTGGAGGCATGGGACATTGTGATAGTTGTGCTGTATTTTATTGTCATACTTGGTGTTGGACTTTTCGTGAGTATTCCTCAATTCAGTGTGCTGTTTATCTTTTGAGTCAAGCTGAGCTTAGAGAAGCCTGTGTTCAGCTGTTTCTTTGGCTCAACACCCAGCTCGCCTGTGCTTTGTTCATTTCAAAGTCGGCTCGATTGGGTATGAATGTCACAGCTTCGAATTATTTTGTAGGTTTGAACAGCTAAAACTGCAATTTAGTGGCATTAATATCTCGGCAATTTCCACCTTTGTTGACGGGCTTTTAGCGTGTTCTCGGCCGGAAAGAACAATAATAATAACAGTAATTAACTTGTTTGGTTTTTATGATCTCGCTAAACATCGTACACCTTGCGCTTTCAGAGGTGACAACTATTTCTGAGTTTGCCTTACTGCAGACGGGTCTCTCAAATCTTAACGAAATTCCGACTAGATCACTGATACACTTTTAAACACAAGGAAATTGCAAACGCGTGGTCTCAAATGTTTACACATTTAACCAACGTAAGTTGAGAGCGAATTCCTTTCATCGGAGAGTTACAATATCGGTGGGTTAGACATAATCACATGAATTAAGAATGTTTGATTATTCATGTGATTACCTCTCTATTTCATATTTATTTGATAACAAAATTTCCAAAGCACCTATTGGTTTTAGATATTCCTTAACTCTAATATTTATCGTACGATTCATCGATAATAAGTCGTAGTTAGCGAACAATGCTATTTCCGCTGTTGCGGCTGGTAACATTAATACTTGTGTATTATTTCCCTGTAATCTTTTGTTTTGTCGAGTGTGCTAATTAAAAACAAATATTAAGTTGCTGTTTGGGAAGAACTCAATAAAAAAAGAAAAAAGTTTATCACTTGGGTGAGGGCTCCACACGCAAATTTTGTGCATAAACTTTGACACAGAAAAAGCGTCTGACGTTAACGAATATGTTTGGTTCTTTAGAATAACGAGATATGAGGCGATTGCATGACAGTCGACAATCGTGTGAAATCTGCTACGTGAAAGGCATGTGAAAAAATATATGAAAATCATGTGAAAACATTTTAACACTTCGTGAAAATCAACCCATGATTTTCACACAGTTTTCCAATTAACACTGAACACTGGTTCTAATGTGGTTTACTGTAAAGCAAAACAGAAAACTAGATACATTCTTTTAGTAAAGCCTGGACACGAACCTGAACTGGTTGTTCATGAGTCTCTGTGAATTTTTTGTAATTAATCCAGACAGTAATTACTCAAGCACATACTTGGAGGATGCCTGCGTTTGAAATTTGCATTTCAAGAACTAATGATGCAGATCCTTTGATCAATTATGTTATGCATAAGTTTCTCTCAGATTGATTTATTAAAACAAATAGACCTTCTTTATCAATTACATGGTTTCCTGGTAGTAACATACTCACATTGTGTTAATCAATGACAGTCCAATACTAAAACATAAGTGATGGGGAACAATAAGCTCTAAGTATTCACTATTTTACCTTGTTGGTCAGTAAAGATGTTCTTGTTTGTCACTCATATAGGATAGCAACAAGTGCCCAACAAGGATCCTTAAAATTTCCTAGTCAAATGCTCTACCACTGTCCAAGCTACAGCCAATATACTATGTTGCCCTTCTAGGGTACTCTTATGTTTCCTCTCTCTCCCCTCCCTAACTGTGACAAAACATCTTTCTTTATTCAATTACCGGCTGAAATTTTACTACCTAGTTACGCTCATATTATGCATTACATATTGTTGATTTCAAAATTGTCTGAGATGCTTATCACATATTAACTTAGTATATACTATAGCCAAGCTTATGTAGATACCAGCTTTGTAGCTGAATGGGCCACCGTGAATAAATAAAGTTTATCTTATCTCTTATCTCATCCCTGGAGGACAGTGGTACTCGCTAGAGCATCAGACTGAGAAATCAGAAGGGCAGAGGTTTGAATTTTTGCAGAGTGTCCTTTTTTTTCGTCCTATGCTTAAAACTAATGATAACATCCTTTTACTATGGATGCCTTCAGCTGAAATTTTATAACTTCTATTAAATCTATTTGTGAATGCCACTGTTCACAATGACCACAATAATTTGTATAATTTCCTTCAGGCTATGTTCAAGTCCAACCGTGGAACTGTCAGTGGCTATTTCTTGGCTGGACGATTTATGACCTGGCTTCCAGTATGTAATGTTATCTTGTTTCATTGTAAAGAAGGCTTTTATTGATAAACCTTTCATTCCCAAGTTCTTGTTACTGTCACCATACAATCCTTATGATATTAGTTTGGAGAATTTGGTATTTGATAAACTAATCCCTGATTGATTTATTTCTTTATTCTTGTCACTTGTCTGTGTGATAATGTATTGAGATTGTAAGGAGAAATTCTGTCTTGGTCACTCTTGGGAGTTAAAGGGATAAAACCCTGTTCCATGTTGTTATTGGGTTTCTCTGTCATTTTTTCTTGCATTCATTTGACTTGTAATAGGAATATATATTTTAACAAACATTTATGAATTATCTTAGTGGCAACTAGTTCTCTTTTAGTATGACTTTTGGGGTTTAGCCCCTTTAAACTACTTTTGTTCTAAGTGAGTAAGTTGATCTCCCAGAAGGCCTCCTTTCTGGATTTGGTTAAATTTCACATTTTCTATAAATTTGTGTTATATCCTTGAAGCACCAATAAATTTTTTATGCAACGTGTGTGTGTGTATCTCACTTATCTGGATATTATAAGAATTAAATAATTAAAATGTTATGGCTTACTTTTTGAAAACTGAATAGTCAGGTCCCCATATTATGCTACTTTTGCCAAAAATTCAATTTCCAATCCTTTTTTTCCGCTTGCCATGGCCACTAGAATAGTGGCAGCTTGGAAGGGTTGATAAAAAGACTAAATGTGGTGAACTGTAATAATTCTTTTATCAAATGGCAGTTGAGATTAACATCATGTTAATGGAAAATATGTTTTGAAAATAGGTTGGTGCATCACTTTTTGCAAGTAACATTGGCAGTGAACATTTTATTGGATTAGCAGGATCAGGAGCAGCTGGCGGAATTGGAGTTGGAGCATTTGAGTTCAATGTAAATAGTTTATCAAAAGTTAATTTGTTAATTTAAGCAGATGAGATTTGGATAGAGTTGTAATATCTGAATAACTGCTGGTGTTTCATTACCAATACCCAATGGAATTGGTTGGTACCTTGTAGGAATGGAAGTAAACTTGCACCACAACAATACAAAACAAACAAACAAACAAACAAAAACCAAGAGTTTGTCAAGATTTTGTCATTTTTTTAAAAATTATATGCTGTTTAATTTTTTGGTTAGAAGCAAACTGTTAAAAAACCTCATGCAAAGATGGGAGTGGAGCATTTTGTTGATGTAAAAAATTAGTTTGTCAATTCAGCCTTTGAGTTGTGAGTTTTAGAGGGTTGCTTTGTGCAGAATTAAGATTAGAGACAATGTGATTGTCCTGGAAAATGCTGTGAATTAGCAAAAACCTCTGCTTGTACAGGACAAGGTGCAGCAGATATTTTTGCATAATCTGATATAACTGCATGAGCTCTCCATGAAATGGCAGACACTTCAAAGATGAAAGTCTCTCACCTTTGACTCCAAAAAAGTTGGTAGATATAGTATCTGAAGGCTTGGAGTAGACTGAGTTGTTGAGACCAGTGATTCTGATTTTTGTTTGTTCTTTTATTAGGCAATAATTCTTCTACAGTTGCTTGGCTGGGTGTTTCTACCAGTTTATATTGCTGGTGGGGTAAGTTTTCATTAAACAATTTTGCTTAAGCAAACAACTATGTCAAGATGTATGGAGTTTTCCTCTTAAAAAGAAAAAGCTTTGACATCTTTAAATACCAATGATAGCTAATTATTTTTTCTGGCCATGTAACATGATATTTTGATAGAACTTGGCTTTCTTCCATTTTAACTGCATTCTTTGAAATGGCCTCTTATACAAACATAGTTGTTATTTTAGAAAATGTCCTGAATGAAATTGCTTTAGTAAACTAATTAGGTAATGAATGTGTCATTTTCATTTTTCTTTTCAAAATTGCTTGATGCAGGCAACACAAGAGACAACAATTTCAGTACAAAAGGGGTAATGAATATCAACAAATTGAGATGCTGTGTATGACACTGGCAAATGACAAATTGTTAAAGCTGAACTAGTTACTATCAGCATTTAACTGTGAGATAAGATCTTCAAGTCAACAAAGAACAAAATATTTCTTGCAGTTTTTCCTCAGTGTTTATTTAAGAATCAGAGGAAAATTGATCAAAATTTGAGTCTTTTTTTGTCATTTGCCATAAATGACATGCCTGAACTCACTAACTAGCATCAGTTAACCTGATGCATCAGTATCCATATTCTCCTTAGTGTTCTCCATAGGTTTCCTAAGGTGCTGTCAAGGAGAATTTGTTTGACAATCAAGAGCCTCTTAAGTTGGTGATCATTTCCTTTATTCTCACATCCTTAATGTGTGATTCAGGGGTGATATTGTAAGAGGAAATTAGGTGCTAAGTAACTCTGAGGGGTTAAAGGGTTAATTACTAACATCATGATGTTATCTTTTTTTCTTTGTTGTGTGCAGATCTGTACCCTTCCAGAATATATTTCCCGTCGCTATGGAGGAAGAAGACTCAGAATGTGGCTTTCAGTTTTATCTCTTCTTCTGTACATTTTCACAAAGATATCTGTAAGTTGGTGTCATTTTTGCCATACTTCAATTAAATTTTCCATTTATAAATTAAGGTATTCATCTTAAAGGCAGGCTAGATGAAATGATGAGTCTAGAAATTTGCCTTGCACTAAATGAACAATTCGAATAAGGCTATAAATGAAGAGGATAAAACTCTGCTGGGGTCATGATTCCTCAGCAAAAGCTGAATAAGCTAATGAAAAGGTTCTTCTCCAGAAGACTCCAAGATTTCCAAATATGTTATGGTAATATAGTTGAGCCTGTATTAAGCTGTCACCTAGGGGAATGACAAGGTGACTGCTAAATTCAGGTTGACCACTAAGCACAGGTCCCATGGTAAAGAGGTATTATAAAAGGCAATTAAAAAAAATTCCATTTTATGCCATGATTGACCACTTAATGTACAAAAACTTTCTTAAAAATACTACTAGCGTTGTTATCAATGAACAAAAATCAACAAAATTTGAGAAACAATCTAGCCGTTGGTTATACATTTTCATGAAAGAAAAACAGTTAACTCAGCGAAATGCATGACAACAGCACCTGCACATGATGCATACAGCCCAATTCTACAGGCATAACTTGTACACTGTCAAATTACAAGCATGACAAAAACACTATCATATTAGTACTGAAATTGGGCTGGTGTCATAGCCAATCATGTTCAAGAGCTTTTTAAAGTTTTGACATGATCTGAAAACTTCTCAGTCATCTGGTAAGAAAAGGATGTGAGCTGTGAGATAAAAGTCAGATGGATGTCTGGTATAAAAATACTTCACTTACTTTGATTTCAGGTTAATTTATTTTCTGGAGCCTTGTTTATCCGTTTGGCTCTTGGTTGGAACTTGTATTTGGCCATTTTGTTGATGCTGGGAATGACTTGTCTCTGTACTCTCACAGGTTAGTGGTTTTTTTTTTTTGCTCTTTTGTCCCAAGGGATGGGTAACCTGAAAGAGTTGAGTAATGGATCCACTCATCAGTGGCTGGGTATCCTGTGAAAAGACAGGAAGGCTTCAAGTGGCCATTAGGCTGTCAACCTTCTGAGTTTTTTCCCATGCTTTCCTGATTGGAAAAATCTGTAACTTACATTTAGGAGAAAAAACTTGTTTGCATTGGTAGAGGAGATTGTACATAACTTTGACAAAACTGTCTTTCGTTATGTTAACCCTTTCACCTCTAAATTCTAAATATCAATTCTTTGGGCTCCCTGAAATATTTTTATATAGATTTAGTGCTGAGAAGTTAGTTTTATTTTCATATAATTTCCACAAGTGGGTATTTTTCTTGTTCCTCATGACCTTCTGCTTCAACAGTTATCAGAATTGTGAGGATAATTTCTTTCTGGTCACTTTTGGGAGTAAAAAAAAATAACATGGATAATTAGCATATATCAAGTAGGTGACTAAATAAATGCTTTTGCATGTGGTAATTGGCTCATTTGGAAATGATTAGCAGGTATCACTCACCTTTAAGTGGCTGCAGAGAAAAAAATTGTGCATCAAGAGCTTAATTTCTGACCATTTTTTGGTATATTGATAGAAAAAACGAATTTTGTGGTTTTTATGCGATACACACTTCAAAGTGGTGGATATTTACCTCTTCTGTTCACTGCTCAGTAGATATCTACCACTACTCACTTCTGCTTTGGATTTAACCCTTAAACTCCCAGAGGTGATTAGCATGTAACTTCTCCCTGAAATATCAACACATTATCCAGCAAACAGGTAGTGAGAGTACTCAGGTAGAAGTTGTTATCTTGATCTAACACCAAATTCTCACCACTAATTTACAAGGAAATGTGTGGTAGCTAGAGGAGAGAATTAACAATCAGATCCTGGGAGTTGAAGGGTTAACCCACATTTAATGTACTGTATAGCTTGGTAGCTTAGATGGATGTAGGCACAACTAGTGTTCAAATTCTGTTGAAGTCTGGATTTTCTCAGGCTTTTTGTCTGCATTTGCTAGAATTGCAGCTCATCTGCAAGTATATTTGTTTTACTTGATGTTACAATGCAAATTAACCCACTCAAATTATTCTCTGGTATTTTAACAGGTGGACTGACAGCAGTGATCTACACAGACACTCTCTGTACTTTCCTCATGGTTACTGGATCATTGACAGTCATGGGACTTGGTAATTTGTTTTTGTTTGTGGCTGAAGAAGGCTAAGAAAACCATTTTTACTGTTATCAAGGATTAAAAATTTTGGCACCAAACAATCTTTAACCCTAAATCTTCCCATTTTATAATCCCTCCCCACCAGAATCTTCTTACCCCTCAAAATCTCAAAAATACCATTCTATTGAGAATATAACTCCTTCATGGTCAATCCAGTCTTGAAAATGTGACCCCATTCAGGGGTACACCTATTATGAGGAAGTACCCCTCCTCCTCCCTGGAACCTCTGGTGTTTTAAATTGCTTAAAATTTTTTATATCTTAAACTTTTAACTTTTATTTTTAAAATTTGAGAGTTTTCTGTTCCTGGGGATTTTTCTCCAAGGATGGAAGAGTTTTGGATCTAATATTTCAGCAGGATGCTCAGACAGCCTCCAAGTTGATTCAAAGTTAAAAGTCATTATTTAACTGCAGATGGTTGCTTTTGCTTCATCATCCATCATATTGAGTTTAACCCTATCACTCCCAAGATCTCATTAGTAATTCTCCTCACTCTCTGCCATACAATTTTATGTTGTTAGTCAGGAGAATTTGGTATTGGATCAACTAGTAATCCCCTTGTTGATATCCTTCTTCATTCTTGTCACTAGTCTGCTTGACATTGTGTAAAAATTGTATGGTGAAATTCTGTCTTGGTAACTCATGAGAGTAAGAGGGTTAATTTGATATCAGCACTAGTGAAACTGGCCAAGTAATCGGTTTGAAAGCCATTGCCTATACATCACTATGAATTCTAGAGAACCAATTTGTTAATTTGTGTTTTTTTTGTTTTTAGGATTTGCTGAAGTTGGTGGTTATGATGGTCTAAAGCAAAAATATATGATGGCAGTCTCAAATGATACTTTGTACTCAAACAGCAGCTGTGGCCGGCCAAGGGATGATGCTTTTGTCATGCTGCGAGATCCTGTCAACTCCGACATGCCTTGGGCGGGATTCATTTTTGGACAGACAATTGCTTCAATTTGGTATTGGTGTGCAGACCAGGTTTGTTTTGAGTGTCTTGAATAGAAGTGTAAATAATCTTAAGTACTGAGTAGAAGTTATTTATGTTCAGGCAGGAAATGTTTAAGGCCAATAAATTAGTGTCTGATTCTATGCACTTTCTGAACACCTACTAGAGACTGAAGAGACTATTATGAATATAGAACTTATTGATAGAAGGAGCATGGGTTTTGAACCTGTTCTGCTCTGTACAGGGCAAAATAAAAGTTGTTGACAAATATTGTGGAAGAAAACAAATCAAGTCCTAATACCTGTTATTAAAGGATTCTCTGGAAGTTTTCTGCAAATCATAGTTATTTTTGGCTTCCTCTTTTCTAAACAGGTTCAAGGTTCAGCCCTTAATGGTGAATCTCTATAGCCACAAATTGGTCAGGATTGAGTCCCAGTCCTAACCTTTTGTGTTTAGAAATGCTGTTATCAGGGAGCTTTACCTAGATGGGGGGCCAAACCAGGTCTTGCCTACATCTCATGCATCATGTACTTTTTATAGTATGTTCTAGGCAGAAGAAGCAGAAGGTTTGGGTGGGGTCAAACCTCCCTAATTTTTTGCCCTGCTGTTTCTATTGTGCTGTTTACCTTTTTGCATTGTTTCACCAACAGAATGCCTGCAACAGTTTAGAATTTTTAAAGGTTGTGCAAATTTAAACAACAGCCTTTCGGCTTAGTATTTAGCTGTTTGTTTTCTATTATGCAAGGTCATTGTGCAAAGAGCTCTTGCTGCCAAAAGTTTGTCACATGCCCAGGGAGCCTGCCTGTTGGCTAGCTACATTAAGATTTTGCCTCTCTTCACCCTGGTTATGCCAGGAATGATTAGCAGGGTGTTGTCGCCAGGTAAGGGAGGGGGAGAGGTGTGAGAGAGGGTATAAGGAGAGAAGGTTTAAATGAACTTATCCATTCCTAATACTTTACACCATAAGATCAGTGTATATATTCTCCACACTGTTCTTGTTACATCTTCTGTGGGATTTACAAGGAGAATTTGATCCCCATAGGATTCATGCAAACAAAATAGCTATTGTTTGATGCGAAGAGCAGCAACCATATAATGTGATACAAGCCAAAATGGCACCTTCAGGGAAATTGATCCAATATTCGGTGCTTGTATTTGTTTGCAGTTTTTGGTTCTTGTTTCCTAGTTTTTTAAAGGAATCTTTATAACATAAGACATTTTCTTCATTTTAACAGCAGCTTGTTCTGACATTTGAGGTTTCTTCAGACTATTTATTAATTTTTTTTTCATATTGGCTGGTATGACATCAATTTATTTATCTAAGTCATTATTTCTTCAGCTTTTCTTACCAATTTGCTGCTTTGGTTGTATCTCTAGACCGTGTTGCATGTAGTGTCCCAGAAAAGTGCATGGAGATTTGTGGAAGTGAAGTTGGCTGCACCAACATTGCATACCCAGAGCTTGTTCTCAAGCTCTTGCCAACAGGTAAGCTGCAGGTGACTATCAATGCCCTTAGAGATGCTGTGGTTGGATTTTTTTTATCATTCTTTTTTAGAGGGGAATCTGAGCTAGCATCCCATTCAGAGGGAATGACGATACTCCTTCTGCCTTTTGCTTGGGAAACTTGAGGATGAACTTCAGCAATGATAGATAGGTCTCTAGGGTATGCAGTACCTGTTGTGAAATGTATTTGAGAAATTTTCAGTGAGTGTTGGATGTTGGATTGCTTTGTTTTTGCTATTTCTTTATGTGATTGGTCCAGAAAACTCGTGCCCCTTTACTTTAAGTTCTTCTTGGCTCCTAGAGATGTTTCCCTTACTCTGATTGCCCTTGTAATTGCTTTAGTTTTGGTTTAAGGATTCTCAATCGAAAGGCGCTCCATAGTGAGTTTGGAGTAAGGAAAATAGGATTTGAAACGAAAATGAAACTGATTAAATATGAAATTTCCTGGCCACGTTTTTGCAAAACCCTATCCGTGTGTCATTGTCTTCCTTAAGTCATACTCCCTATCTCCTTAAAATTATTTTAAAAATGTTCTATGAAAATTTGAATTGTGTTCTCTTCATTTTAGGTCTCAAAGGATTGATGATGGCAGTAATGATGGCTGCTTTGATGAGTGACTTGACCTCAATCTTCAACAGCGCCAGTACGCTCTTCACCATTGATGTGTACGGCAGGTTTCGAAAAAAGGCCTCAGTTAGGGAGCTCATGATTGTGGGAAGGTAACAGTGGTTTCTTACGTGAAATAATTAACCAATTAATAATTAATCAATAATTATTAAAATTTTCCTTAAGACTCTGTATGACATTCTACCGCTGTTTAGCCTGCCAGCAGGCTCTCGTGTTGGGGTTAGGCACAGCGAGTTACTACACCATCGAAAGCCACTTCTGGAAAAGTTGCCGACACCGTTCTTGTTACCACATTTTGACATCTTCTGTGATCTATTGTCGAACAGACGCACAATGACGTGAAATCCATTTGTTTTTACAATAAGGAAGCAGTATTGTTAATGATGACATCATCTGTGCGTCTGTCCTTGAATATTTCATAAGGAGGAACCAATCAAATTGCGTGTGTACGTTAGCGTGTTATGAAATTGAAGTAGATACTTGATTTCCTCTCGGATTTTTGAACGTAGGTTAATCAGCTAATATCTCACCAGCATTTCCGATTCCAACCTCCGCAGCATAGTGGCACGTCAGTTACCATCAGCTGAGTTGTAAGGTTTCATGTTGGGAGAGAATCTAGCAAATTTTTGTGGGATTTTGCTCACCCGTCGAAAGCTACGCGACGAAAAATAGCGTTTTCTACATGAAAAATAGCGTACTTTCGATAGAGTTGCGCGTTATAAAAAGGCTCAATTCTTTGTCATCTCGATTCCGATGGCTCCTAAACGGCAGTTTGAATAGGGCCGGCCATTTCTTTATTCGAAACATCTGTGTGATTTTATAGGATCATGGTCGCAATAATGACAGGAATAGGAATCTTGTGGATCCCTGTGGTTCAGAGTGTACAGGGAGGTCAGCTTTTCATCTACATCCAAGCTGTCAGTGCATATTTTTCCCCGCCAATAGCAGCCCTGTATTTGATTTCCATCCTCTGGACGAAGGCAACGGAGAAGGTTTGTCATCGTACGTGCCTTTTTTTTTCATCACAAACACAACAAGATGGACCAAGTTAACCCTTTGACCGTAAGAGTGACTGATTGTTAAACAAATTCTCCTTGTCAGCACCTTAGAATATGTGTAAAATATATGTATAACAGTATGGAGAATATGTATACTGATGTAGTGGTTTAAAGTGTTAACAAGGAAAGAAAGGTATTCTTTTTAAAATTTCTTACTTGTCGAGTTATACAGAGGTGATTAGTGGATAAATACTCTGAGTTAGTCTGAACATGAAAAAACAACTGTGTCACTTCACTCGTATGCGGAGCTTTTCTTTCGACCGAAGGAAGTAAACTGGAAGAATTTCCGTATATCCCCATACCACTGTATTCTAAAACAAAGCATAAGTCCCAAAGGTAATCTACTGTTTTCGTAGTGGTTAAGTAATGGTGGTAGGGAAATTTTACTCGTAAATATTTGCACCTGTTTTGCGGAATAGATTTACAAGGCAGCAGCGGCAGTGTTTAGCTTTCTACAAGAGATATTCCCTTCACTAATTTACTTGCTTATGTAATTTCTTCTTTTGGCGCACATCTCAGGGTGCATTCTGGGGTATGATCGTGGGCTTCATTGTGGGTGCAATACGAATGATCCTGGACTTCACTCACTTAGAGCCTCGTTGTGGTGAAGAGGACACTCGACCAGGCATCATAGCCAAGGTTCACTACATGTACTTTGCACTGATCCTCTTTTGGATCACAGTCTTCACTATTGTGGTGATCAGTTACTTCACTAAGCCGAGGCCTGAAGGAAATGTGAGTAGAACAATGTGTGTATGCATTTACTGAACTCAGCGGTCAAACGTGGGTCATGCGTAAATGGTCAGTTTTGTTCAGCCGCGCACTGAATTGCGCACCAATTTCGCGGCACTTGGTCTAAATGTTTTGCTCCAGACGCAAGAGAAATATTTGAGTGATAAGTAATAATTTCCAACTAGCGCAAGGATATGCTCAAATTTTGAAGCTTTGCTCTCAGAAAACAGGGCCAGGGTCACAAGTTGAATAGCCCTTTGGCCATACAGCACTACCCCCTTTGCATAAAGAGTTACTTTCTATTATATCCACGAAAAAAATAGTCGAGCATGCATGTTTTTGCGCCTTTTTTTTTTTTTATTAAGAGTGCTTTCCAGCCAACCGAAGCGAAGGAAAATAACTTATGGAGCCGATTAGAACTCAAAGAAATTAAAAAAAAAAATTCTCACAGCGCGGGAAAACGCAAGTGACCAAGTCGCGATTGGTTGATTGTTTGAATCTGATTGGTTTAGAAAGTTGCACGCATTTTATGGACCAATCACAGAGCGAAGTAAAGCGTTGCTAACTTAAGTGTTACTGAACCTCAGACTGCTCGGTTGACCTGGTGGACATTACACGAGAAGCCATCGGACACAGACGTCATGGAGGAAGCCAGGGACGAGGAGATTGAAAAGCAAGAAATTCCTGAGGAGGATGACATAGAAATGGAAGAGATAGAGGCAGATGAAGACAAGGAGAAGGGAGCAACTGAGGAAACGCCGACCGTGACTTTGAGACCATCGAGTGAGTGAACACTTGAAGTTGTCAGTTACTATTGCTGTTGTTTTTGATGCTACACTTTCAATGTTTTGACTCAAAGCTTTGAATTAACGACCTATAAATTTTATTTTTCCAAACGCGGTCCTGACATTGTCACTTATCGCCCTCGAGAACATAATTTTCCCACCAGTTTGTAAATTTGAACAAGCAAGAGCACTTTCTGTCGTACAACCAACGCCAATCTGATGAAAAAAAGGGAATATCAGGGGAGTTAACGTAAACTCAAAGCAATCTGCATGAAGAGAACAAACTGCCTGCAGCACGGATGAGAACATGGCCTTGACTTAGTTGTGATTACTATTAATTTTGCATCTGATTGGTTGAGAGAGTTGCATGAGTTTTCGGGACCAATCATAGATTAGGAAAACTCTCTCGTGTCAATTTGTGCCAAGCACTCACCAACCATTACGCTATAGAAATCTCGAGCTCATTATCTAATTATTACCTAGTATACTGTTGTTACTGCCCTCACATTTCATCTTGCCTTTCAGGGCATCCACCAGAATCGAAAATAAAGCGTTTGTACTCGTGGTTCTGCGGCTACGAGGCTGGAACAGAAGAAGCAAAGAAAGCAGCTCATGAACAACACGAGCGGCTGGCCATGATCACATCGCTTGAACGAGATCCAAGAGCGGAAACGTTCCTCAACATAAATGTGGTCATCATTCTTGCAGTCGGGCTCTACCTCTACATTTTCTTTTCCATTTAAATTTTTTTCAGTAGACAGAGTTGTCAATAAATTTCGGTAGCCGGTCAAAATCACTTGCTAGTTTGCCAAGAGTATCCGGCACCTTTAACCACATTTTATTACAAGCGCGGAAGAAAAATCGTACAATTGTTGAAATGCAATTAAAAAAAAATTTGCACAAAAGCCATTTTTCGGTTTTTTAGTAAAATTGAACGCATAATTTACCAGTAAAAGGTTTAGATGTGTGATAAGATTCCAAGTAGCTTGATAGTTCGTGCGAATTTCGTGGACAGCCTGACTAAGAGAGTTCCGCGTCTTGCGTATGGTTCTACTTTCAAACGTATTGACACCCTTCGTTGAACATGTTTTAACTGGTGTGACCAGTTTCTCTTATCTTGTCGATCGGCTCGTTTTACGTCCTTTTTCGTTGAACACTAAACGATCTGAAGGTGCAGTGACAGTGTGTTACCTGGTTTGGTTTTGGTGACAGTAGTATTCGTTAGAGCTCATAGTTTCCGGTTACATTTCATGCGTTATCCAGATGTGATAGTGATGGCCATGTTGGGCAAAAATGCTTAACGAGGTTTAATTGAGAAAATAGTTTTTGAAATTTTTATATACAGTATGATAGATTACATGTCATTTTCTTAGATTTGTCCAGAATTATATATTTATATCATGTAATTCCTAATACCCTTTAATACGCTATAGTAAAACGTATATGTTTGGTTTTTGGTAACTGAGTGAATAAAGTTTTTTGTGAGGTAGTTTGATCAGTAATTTGTGATAATTATGTAAGATAAATCACAAATCTAATTATTTAGAAATGAAGGGTGAACTCAGTATGTTTTTTGGTTGGATTGTCAAAAATACAGTCCATTGAAAAGGCAAAATTGAAGGAAAGAGCTTTGTCTTTTAAAACGGATGTTTTTGACTCGTGTTATTTAAGAAAACCTCCTCCCTTCCTTCTCCAGAAAAAAAGCGGGTTATAATCACCAGAAGGAATTTTACTTGCATTCGTTTTTTTAAGCTAAGACATTGTCGACCCTCCTCTCCCCACCCCTCACCCCTCCCCTCTCCATCCCTTGCCCCTCCCCTCTCCTGGTGTATTCCTTCATAAAGCCTACAACCATCCATCAATTCTGGTTTAAGCCGACAATTAAAAATTATAGAAACTACACACTTTTCATCTGTACCTTTAAAAAGTAAATATGAAATTAATGCACTGACCGCGTTTTGAGAGAAATTTTTATTGAAGATCCGACTGATAAATCCGGTCTAATACCAATAACGTTAATGAGCGTAGCATTGCTACGCGCGTTCTGGTTCCCGCCATGAGTTGAATTATGGGACGTCATGCGGCCAACTGACCGAGTGACCGAGTCTTCAAATTGGCAGCGCCGATTGTTGAAGTTTTAGCACATTTGAAGACAATTTTCAGGCTGTTACGTTACTTCTTGGAATATCAAAAAGCGGTGAGTCGCAAATGTTTATTCATACTTTTTAATGGCGGAGATAAATTTGAATTTAGGTCTGTTATGGAATAATGTCATTCCCTCGGTCCGAAGGACTTACGTCAAGATCGATAACTTGAGTCAATTTGTTTGACGTGCAAAAAAGACTTTCAACTTGAATGAGACTTTAAAATATTGGTTTAGTAAGATAGAAAAACACGAAAGAGGCAATAATAAAACAAGAACGAAGAAGGATGGCGGAGGATGGAGAGGATTGAAAATGATAAACTTGAAAAATCTTAAGCTTAATTATTCAATATGCACAAATCGCTTCTTGTTCTTCAAAGTTAAAAAGGCTTTTCGGTTTGTTCGTTTATCTCCATTCCCATCTTTTCCATCGTTTCAGGATTTTTACCTCTTTGTTTTCTTCCCAACCGAGCCTTTAAATTCTTGAAAAATTCTTTGCACTCTTTACAATCCCGTGCCGAAACAAGTCCGTTGATTACATTCGACATGGCTGCCAAACCCAGGATGATGAAAATGATTCGAATTACTGTATTCCAGACTGGATGTTTTGACGGGCCACCTCCTGGGATCAAATCGCCAAATCCAACTGTTGTAAAAGTAATGAAGTAGGCATAGAAACCTTCAAAGAAAGTCCATTCCTGGACCTTTACCGCAGTTGCCGCCCCCACAAGTAAAATTATTATCAACAACATCAAACCCAGAAAAGCGCACTTTTCATTCAAGTGTCTTGGCTTGCTCTCTCTCTTAAGGCAACGGGATTCGAATTTTGTGACGAGGAGTCGCTCACTGCGTAGCATTCGTTCTCCAACCACCTGCAGGAACAATATGTTGATCGGGATACCAAACAAGGCGAAGATTATACAAAAGGCTCGGCCGCC